AGTAAAGCTCAACTGCAGGCTGAATGAAGTTCGTTCCTCTATGGCATATTTAGGAGCGTACTTTTGCAAAGCTTGCCACATGCATGTTCACATACTTGCTGTGTACATACATGGCAGACTCTCACAAATGTCAAGTTGTCCCTTTGAACTTGGCTCCTCCAGTTGAATGAGCTCTGAGCTCCACAAACACATATGCATAATAAGTATGCACATTACTAGTTATTTGTCAGTATATGTTTCACATGCTATCAACTATTGATTTACAAGTAATATAAATATGCATGTTTCAATCAAGGAAAGTAGTAAACACCAAGCTCACCACAGTTATTTCTTAAATTACCGATATTTACCAATTAAATTAGGAACGTACAAGGTACACATAGATAAGTGTATGCTCAAGTACCCTGCCACATGTAAGCATCGAAATGTCATCAAATTGAAACAAAAATGTTCAGACAATCTTTGCCATTTAGTCAGAAGCCAGCCACACAACCTGAAAAAATACCGCTTGAGTAATCCGCTTACAAGGTCAAATTACACAGAGAGTATGTGAACAATGATGACCAAAGCAATCAAATGCATTGTGCTTGTGTCCGCGACTTTAATGTATGTCAAAATATTAGATTTCAGTTGAGAATTTAGTAGAAAACAAATTCATATAAAAATACAAATTCAAATTCATATAAAATATAAACAAAACGCATTTTATTTTTTTTATATTTATTTTGTTGTTAACAATAAAAGAACATAGTCGTAAATATTCAGTTAACTGTTAACATATTTTTCTGATTGAATGTTTTCATATATATATGTGTGTGTGTATGTGTATGTGGTGTCATTCAAATCAGTGATTATTGAAGACCTTCAGGCCCAATTGATTCTACCATTCCAGAACCGCTTTACGGCCTGCCCTGATGCTGGCAACGTCTGGTATTTCACAACTTATCTTCACATTGCTCTCGCATGCTTCATTGGACTTAGGACACTAAGCTGTCAATGCTGCGTTTATTGTACATCGCACTCACCCACACCTAAAGCGATGGAGAGAGAGAGCGAGATAGATATGTATATAGAGAGTTAGAGAGTGAGAGAGTGAGAGAGAGAAAAAGACAGCATTGTCATAGCTCGCATTGTGGTCGAGCCATATTGAAGACGCACTTGCACCCAATTGCTGCATAAAAGCAGAATCACTAAAGGGAAGTAAAGTGAAACTGAAAACTGTGCTACAAAATGTTTTATACGCAACAACGCGACTCCATCCCTTACCATATTGGCAATAACAATAACAAATAAGTTTGCCGCTTTAGTTTAGTATCCTTTGCCTTCTGTCACTCAAAAGATTGCACACTTTTCATTCTAACACAGATTGTTCAACTTATGTGTGAATCCACACTCAGAGTCTTAATTCAATTCCACATTATTATTATTATTATTTGACAAAATTGTGTTGAATGCATATTATTTCTACTGGCCAATGTTAATTAGAAATCTGATTTTGCTTTTCCCTTCTTATTTTTTTAGTTAAGTAATATTTTTGAGTCGTTTATCTAGTGTCATACTTCAAAATAAGTTTTCTACCTGCGACATTAGGTGTATAATTCAACTACAAGTATATTAAGTGTTGTTGGCCGAATAGTTGCGTTAGGTGCAGGGTATCTGCTGGTCAATCCTCATTAGTATTCTGGTGTTTACAGAACGATTTTCGGTTCAGCAGTGGTAAGAGCAAGCCGCTTATTCGCCTGAGTGGCAAAGCTTTTACGGGTTTTGATATATTACGCTGATGGAAATGCATTCACTTTACAGTCGAAAATAGCTTAAAATTTACAATCCGGACAGGCTGCGTGGTGACATCATGTATTTTCTTCTTCTTTTTTTTAGTGGGCTTAAGGCGGATTAGCTCTGCCACTGCTGCAGAATTCTTACATTTACTGTAAGCATAATGGTTAAATCGTATTTCCTAATTGTGACTCACACATAATTAAATGATATATTTTAGGTCCAACCGCACTTTCTTGGTCAGTAAATTTCGAAATCTATTTAATTGGGTAACTGACTGATCGGTGTTTTCTTTGATGTTATTTTGGAAAGTTTTTTTAATAAAGATAAAATTGGGTGTTATTCCACTTATCCTTAATATGCCTTTTGCTTGTGGCGTTTGCTAAATCAATTTTTTTTGGCGATGTTCTTCGGTCATGATTGACTTAAGAACTTTGCGGGGATTGCTGTCGGCTGGGGTGCATATCCTTTTGATGGTTGCCATTGGCAATTATTTTGCAAAAAATTAACAATAAATGGAACAAAACTTTTAGATAACTTTAGCGCTAACTTGGATCCCTTTCTGCGAGGTGCCATCTTATTTACATAGACAAAAGCCGTTGTCCGTCGGCTGAACACTTGTCCGGCAAATCGGTTCAGCAAAGGTTCAGTTCAGCAATAGCTGCGTCATGAAAGGCAGCAGCATCCTCGGCATCAGCATCACCTCATCATAGCAACACTCCTAATTGTCTTTATCCCACTTTTGACATTGTCATTAACAGGATCTGCGTCAGTTCGGATGAAAAAGCCATGTGAATCACTTCACACTTGATTTTTGCTTTACGGTTTAAGTTAATTTGTAAATAGAATGGCATTTAAAGCGGTAGAGAATGGCAACAATCAGAAATCAGAAACCAAAAATCATGCAGCGGGAATTGTATTTATATGTAAACTTGATTATAATTTAACATTTTTAGATTATTGCCATTAACAATGCATTTAAGGCTTACAGACTAGATGATTATTTTATTTGAAGCTTATGTTAAAGATTTCCAATAATTTAAGGCAATTTCGCTTGAGCAATTCATGTAAATCTTTCCACTTGATTGCAATTTTAAGCAATTTTCCCACTTATCCACTTATTTTCTGGGTGCAGGTGAAACTTTATTACATCTACGCAACATAAAAAGAGCGCGCAATTCGTTGTTGCCACATGTGATAACAGGCAGCAGGACATACCCACAAACACGCAGACATAAACAGATCTTGAGTTGAGTGTGACCTGTAAGTGCAATCAATGCGCTCGTGCAGCAGCATCAGTATCAGTAGCAGTATCAGGCACGTGCGAGCAGCTGTGCTATCAGTTGAAGTTGCCACAGGCAATCAGCCAGCAACGTGCATTCAGCATACTGGTTGCAGCAAGCGAATCTACAGTGCTATCTACAGCACTCCATGTCCAACCATATTCTCTTCGTGCGTTGTTGAACGCCGTCCATTATGCCGCCCCGGCCTCGAATGTCGATTTAATGCATAAACTTGACTGCTCAGCTTTTAACAGAGCAAAGTCTGGACACTGGCAATGGATAGTTGGTAGTTGGGCGTAGGAGATTGTATTTTACATTTTGTTGCTGTGTGACTGCGCTGTTATGCACTGGCTTTTAATACCCGTGCTCAAAGCATTTTACTCGACTTTAGTTCAGCAACTTTTATACTCATTACTTTCTCAATATATGTACAGACATTCAGATGACTAACCTGTTGTACAATTTATAAAATATATTTTAAAGATGTCATATATTAACTAAATTGTAAAATACCAATGAATTTAGGTCTGCTTAATATTGTGCAACTGTTAATGCATAATAAATAAATGCATATTAACAAATATTATCAATTAATTTTATTTTTTCCAATATTATTCATCGAATCATATTATAAAAAAAAATGATACTATTTTATTTTTGTTTATTTGTTTGATTTTAATCAAACTTTGAATGCTTTTCGATGTTGTAATAAACTTATCTTACTCCACAGCTTCGCAGACTTACCCATCTTTTCTATATTATTATTCTTGCTTTATTTTGTTTATTTTTTATTTATTTAAAATTTATAATTTAAATACTCCCTATCAATTTTGTATAATATAATTTGTAACTTTTACATTAAATTTTAATTTCCCAAAAGCTACTTAAAAAATTCTGGACTGTTTTTAGTACATAATATATAATCTTTTACACTGATTTTCCACAATAAAAAATAAATATTCATTAAATAAAATCTACAACAAAAGTGCTGCATATATGTAGCTTCGTATATTATAGTCGACTCCAGTCCGATTGCAGTGAATTGTATTATGTCTGAATATTTCTGAATTATACTTACGGGCGCAGCACAAAAGTTATTGCGGACGTTGACTGTTCAAAGTTGATGCAAAAGTGGTTGCACTTGCCACCTGCGTGTGTGTGTGTGTGTATGAGTGTGTGTGTATGAGTGTGTTTGTAGATGTTTGTGTGTGAAGCTATACGTCAATTTAGTTAATATTGCCGACGTTTATGATGAATTTATATGCTGCGGTTTTGCTTTACACAGCCAGAGGCAAACAAAGCCATTAAAAAGCAAGCTAAACAAAGTTATGACGTTTTATGTTTATAAAAACAACAATAGGAGCAACAAAAGCAGCAGACAATGCTTAAACTCAATTTGTACGAAGATACGCCCCAGAAAATATGGCAACAGAGGCAACTTTTGACAGAACATTGGCACTTGAACTTGGAACTCAATTCGCTAGCGAAAAAAGGCAATCATCTAATTTCGTTATTCATAGCAGTATTTGTAATATAGAGTTTATAAATTCATCTCATGAATTAAATATAGATTTGCTCTGTTTGAGTAAGCTCTATCAAAAGCCCAAATGAAAGCAATTTGTTTTCGGCATCCAAAAATACCTTCTGATAGGTATTTACCATGCGCACAAAATGCAGAGGACACAAGATAATCTGCACAATGAATCAAATTTTGTGATTTTCATTTATTGTCGGCTTAACATGTTACATAAATGTCAAACAGTTAGAAATACATTTTGTGGCATGTGTAAATACATTTGTACATTGTATTTACTAAAATAAATTTAATATAATTGCATCTGCAATTTGTTTCAACAAATCCATTATTAACAATGGTCAAAATATACTTGTTAGTTTGAGTGTGTTTGCAGTTCTATTGCATTTTGTGAAATGAATTTGGTTATGCTTCGGTTGGGAGTTCACAAAGCATATCTGCTACATTTTATAAATAAATATATTCAATATGGGTGACAATAAACGAGACCTTCGTTTACAAATTCTATCAATCGCATATATTGCAAAGTCAATTATAATGGCCAGACATCCTTGCCGGGTCGATTTCACACTCCTAGTTAAGTGCTTAAGTGTCATTGATCGGTTGATTGATTGTTTTATTGGAGGAGTCATCTTGTGCCTTATTTATTTATTTATTTTTTTATTTATTATAAAGCAAGTCAAAAGATATTACGTGCCTTGCTCGTACTGAATCAAACATTCATTCACAGTGGTTACGAAAATTTCTACAGTGTCTATCCTTAATGCGTTTTTAATCCGAACATTAACTTTTGGCATAGCTTAACAAATTCAAGTTTAAATGTGAAAGATCAGTTTTCTAAAATTTAAACAAGAAACAAGCAGGCAAGCAAATAGTATTATTATGTGTCTATGATATTATGTGTCCCGAAATGACTGTAGCGCAACCTAAACCTCATATCGGAACATCATCAAGCTGGCATAGGAGAGCATATATTTCAAGTTTAAGATCTCGATCTGTTATAGTCTCTGAGTTCCTTTTGTTCATACGGATGGACATGCAATGGATTTGGCCAAGCTTTTGACTCGGCTGGTGATCCTGATCAAGAATATATACACCTTAAGGTGTTTGAAAATACTTCCTTACCTATTTGATATTGATACATATTTTTAATGGGTTCAAGAAAAAGCGGTTATTTCAGACCACAGTTAATTTACTGACATCTCAATTATATTATACATTTAAAATACCAACCGAGCTGTATAATATATTTGTCCGATGTTAATAAGTTTTTTTTGCACAAATGCAAGAAGGCTCCTTATGCCCTGTAACCAGCTAGTATTGCTCTGGTATAGGACTATATTTATATGTATATATTTATAGTATGTTATATCTACGTATATATATATTTATGTGCACACATATATACAGATATATCTTTTTTAAATATTTGTTTTGTTACTAGCGTCTCGTCAGACATGTTGACAAAATGCTATTGTTATAGGAAGCCACAAAAACGAGCAAAGTGTCGAAATTCATTCTCTTTCAGCGCCTTTTTTGTTTGCCTCACAAGTTGGCACATTCACACACACACACACATACACATACACACACACCCACATTGTGGCACACACATGCAGGTTAATATGTCATATTTGTGTGTCTGCATATTTGTCGTCTGATTGTTGGTGCCACAATGCGTTTGGTTTTATTTCCAGACTGTTTGCGCATTGCTGTTTGTATTGTTGTAGTTGCTTTCATGTTTGCCTTATTGCAGTTCGTCCCGTTGGCAAATATCTAAAGAATTATGCGCTTTAACCTTTTCACATCCACAATAACACAGCAATTAATTTCGCAATTCTGACGAGCTAGTTAAATCTGGCTAATGCTATTTGTTTATCAGTTATCTGTCTACGATTGAACATCACCGGGCCAGTCTGCACACAACTATTTATAGTAATAAAAAACAATAATAAAACTCTAGTTAGAGTTGTTTAAATTATTTTCAATCAATATAAAATAATAGAATATAATCAATATACATAAACAATTTGAAATATGAAAATTCGATGCATATATGTATATATATGATTCGAATAAAATATATGCCTTATCACATTTGGTTATTTCACAGGAAATAATTTCTGCCAAATGCAATATTCTTATGTATATATTTACGTATATTATTGGACAAGAGTATTTATGCTGATGTTGGTCCTTAGTCAGAGCTGCTCTCTCTTATTTTAATGTGACACTTAAATGACAGCGTTGAAATTGAATTCAGCTCCATAGACACCACATCAGCCATCTGGGGCCTATTTAATCATTCGCACATAAGGGTCGTATGAGCAATATAATGTGTCGCTCCGCTCTTTGCTTGGCTTCTGCATTGTGCTGATGCTTGTCACTATTGTCGTCTTGAAGGCTTTGGCCCTGGATCCGGCTCCATCTCTAGCTCTGACTGCAGTTTCAATTTGGGTCGGGTCCGCGCCTCATTAATGTGCGCCGTGTGCGATTCAAATTAGGCACGCAAAGCGCTACCATTAAAAGCGGCGACAAAAAAGGCGGCAAACAAAACATAATAGAACAAAGCAGAGCAAAACAGAACAGAACAGCAGTGAAAAATAAGGAGAAAGTAACTGAAAACGAATCTGTCGCATAATTACAAAAAATGTGTCAGACATGGCCGTGTGAGCAGCTCGGCTTTTATGTGGAAAAGTCTAGACATGCGCTTGCCGGCCAGATCCGTGAGCAGAATGCCCCTTCCACAGTCCAGCCTACCAACTTGCAGCCAACGACTCTCAACAGTCCTTTCCACATGTCAATATGTGCTCCTACCGCACTCTCATACATACCCAGATCCCCCCCAGATCCAACCACTCTTTGAGGCATGCTCATGTGTGTGTGTGTGTGTGTTCAGAAGCTTTAAAGCAATTGTTGTCACTGCGTGTAATTGTTGATGCTTTTGTACAAAATCAGTATTTACGATTGACATGCCGGCCCAGTGGCTCTTTTGGCTTTGACTTCGTCAATGCTGACAATTGCAGGCAGACGATTTTTTGTTAAACGCACAAGCATCGATAATTGTCAGTGGAATTCCCAAGGCAAAGTCTTAATTCTATGCAAGATCAAAGCATCTGTTTTACATGCTTAAAGCTATATTTACGGATACCCTGCAGTTGTCAGATATATCCAGATATATGTACTTCTCTATGATCGGGCAAATTTAAGTAGTCCAACGTATTCATTAAATTTGTATCTTTTTTTATTGGAATAAAAATAATATAAAAAGTTTCATGGGCAGCAGTTAACAATTTTAATCTTCACATAAAAATTAAATTAAAATTTATTTAATTCCAAATGCCATTAAGAATAATCGAGTATTTTACAGATATTATCATTTTTTTTGTTTTTCTTTTTATATGATATTAAAGGTTATTGAATTACCTTTCCTAAAAGTATAAACTCTCTCTGTGTATATTTAAACAAACCTAAATAAATGGACTGCAGTGTGCTTTTAAATAAATAAATAAATGCATAGACGAGTGGGATACTTTAAATCAAGAATACAGAGTAACTGTTGAAGCTGTTGACCTTTACTATTTGTTATATTTGTAGTTTCCATGTTTATGTTAGGTTTGCTTTGATGCGTTTTTTTGTTTGCTCCACAACTTGAGAAAGAAGAAGACAATAACAATGGCAACAACATCATGTTGACTAAGAAGTCAGCTGGCTTTGCCATTCTTGTCGCTGGCCGAGGTACATTGATTTAAATTGGCCATTTCATTGCTCCATTATTTGCCTGAAATGCTGTGGATACTCAAGATTTGCCGAGATACTCAACTTGATTGTTTGCTTGGCTTGGCTTGGCCGTCGTCGTTTATTCTATTGCTTTTTGTTGCTACTTGCGCTTCTATTCGTTTATTCATTTATTTATTTACCTATTTTTTGTTTTGTCTGGTTTTAACTACTATTTATCTCATTGTTAGCGCTGTTGCTTTGTCCCTTTTTTTTTTGTAATTGTTTGCTATTTTACTTGCGTTGCCCTCGCACTTTAATATTAACAAGAGGATTTACTGTGTACTTAACTTAACGTTCAATGTCGATTTGAATCAAATTTCTGGATGGAGTAAACATTTACTGACCTGCAGCTGTTGACTAAAGGAAACGTTCAAATTCTGTTTTATTTTGAAAACTATGCAAATATGTACATAATTACAACTGTATTATGCTGCAAGGTAATAGTATCAGTTTCCGGTGGATGCATGTTTGTCAACTTGTGTCAGTAAGCGACATCCTTTTCTATCCTTTTATGTTCTGCTGTCTATAAATGCGGAATTACTTAATCAAGTTTATATGAACGTCGCTGGTATGAACATTTTAAGGTCTCGCTTCAAGTTTCAACAGCAAGTCAAAGACTGATGAAACAATTTATTCATCAGAATCATTTCCTGTTGTCAGCTGCAAAATCTTGGCTGCACTCGAAGTTGTACCGCAGATATGTGTATGAAGCTAAGTTATTTGTTGGAAATAGTGTTCATATTGTAATTAACTGAACAGGGCTTTTTCCTTTAAGTTACCAAATCCAGTTATGTTTAGAAACGAATGAATTCAATCGTCTTGCGTTCAATCACCTGCGCCGCTTCCCATTTACGATTCAAATGCCGTACTTATTTCAATTTGAATTCTTACCACATTTTCGGTTCTCTAGCTCTTCTGCATCTTTAATCCATTTCGACCCATCGACCCACTGCTATCCTTTTTCTATTTTTTTTATTTTTTTTACCCTTGCTCATTAGCCTAGCTGATGTCACATTTTTTAAGAGGTGATTCGACTTGGCCAAACGAATAAAACAAACGCTAGGAAACAGCTATCGAAGATTAGATTGCCTTGTAGAGTGGGGCTAATTGGTTACGTCTAAAGTGAACCCTTGATATAAGAAACCGACTGATTTCATTTGGGTCAATAGGTGAAACATCTGCGCCAATGAAAGCAAATCACAGCAATGTACATCTCCGTCTCAAGAAAATGGTTTCACTTCAGGAGAGCAGCGATCGCTAAATAGGTTGATTAATGTTTAAATACAAAAAAAGGTATCGAAAAGCGATTTCCAGTTGGTGCTTCGATACTCGATATTCGTCAGATATTCGTTTTGGGGAAGTGGCTGCGAAGGAATCTTGTAACCAGTAACTCTAGCTCTGAAATTGTGGGAGACAACGGCCTCGGATGAATAGAAATTTGAATTTGACGAATTCGCCAGTTTGCTGGGAAATGGGAAGACGACTTATAATACGTTTATATAAACGGCTGGGCGCTTACCAAATTATTAATTAAAACGGCTTTTGTGGCAGTCGCGCTTTAGACAGCGGCAGCAGCTTGTTATGCAAATTTTGTCGTCACTGTGTGGGAAAGTAGTTTACTTTTACTTTTGCACTGCAATTGCACCTGAGTGCTGTAGTTCCACTTGCTGCTAATGGTAGCATACTAACCCAATGAAATGCAAACGATTTTACATAAACTGGCAACTGGCAACAGGCAACAATAGAAACAGTCGAAACAACAGCGCCATTATGGAAATAGCTCACACATTTGCAGCGGCTTCAAAGTTCGGCTCAAATTTACATTTTGATAGTTTTTTTTTTTTGTTTTCGAGACTTTTTGTGTAATTTTGATTTTCTTGAGCGAACCGCTGGCAACATTCACTGCATGATTACCTAATCGTACTGCATTTTAATTGCTATCGCTAGGCTATGCTTATTTTATATGCATTTAAATGATAATTGGAACACTAGGAAGCTGATTTGAGCGCTTGGTAGGTTGTTAAATTTCAAGTCAATTAGCGATGGACACGATTAGACTGGGAAAGTAGTATTTACGTGAACAGATAACAATTTATGAGTACATTGTCTAGTAGATAATCATCTGCCATTTGAGCCTTTCACTGCTGCGCCCTAGTAAAGCACCTGTGTACTCCATTAAATTGCAGATCATTGCATTGCATAGTACATTTTGCATATGTATCCACATTTTGGTTTTTTTGTTGTTGTGCACATACTCGATCGAAAATCAAACGTTGCCACAGCCCTAACCATAATTGGGGTTGTCGATCCATCCATCCATCCATCCATCCATCATCATTAGTGTACAAATTTCACATTCACATTTTCTTGGGTGCGACTTGAGGAATGAATGAGGAAGCGAAGAAACCGCGGGTCTTGCAACGAATCACTCTCGATGTTGTTGCAAGCAGAACAGCACTGATATGCAACAATTATTAACATACAACATACAACTCAGTCCACAAGCCACATACAACCGAACAGGAAGATTTTCGTTAAGCAGTTGCACTAGATACTTTATTGGGAAAATCCAGATGATATTTGAATCTGATATCGATGTCACTCAATTGCCAATTAGCGTAATTCCAGCAATTTCTTAATGTTGCCACTATTGGTATTTTTTATTTTTCTTTGTTTGTTTGCTTATTTAAAAAGTCGTTGTATACACATGCATACAAAAATATATATAAGCACTTGTTTTTTTGTTTTTGATTTTTTTTTTTTGTTCAATTACCTTGCACTTGCATTATATATTCGTGCACAGCTCGACCGGTTAGTGGTGGCGGCGGTGGTTAACCCGCCAGTTTGTGACTGCCACTCACCACCACCACCAACACCAACACCACCAGCAACACCAGCAGCACCAGCAGCACCAGCAACAATTGGCAACAAGTTTTCAATGGAAAAGCGCCTGTCTCAAGAGACGGCTAGGCGGCGTATATGTAATAACTTTTAATTGAACGAGTTTCGCACGCATGTGTTAGCATCATTATCTGTGTGTGTGTGTGTGTGCGTGAGTGTGTGTGTGTATGCGACATAAGTTACAACAATAAGTAAAATGCAACAGCATTAGCGACAACATCTCTTATATGCAGCTAACGACTTCAATTTGAATTGTTGTTGTTGTTGTTGTTGCCCATTTTGAAGTTCGTTGCCGCGGCTGCACAATTGTTGTTGTTGTTGTTGCTGCTGTTGGTGTTTCACATTTCACTTGCTCGTGGACCGTTCGTATCGGCTCGCCACATATTTTTGGGTATAAATCGAATCTGGTCCCAAACGCCAAGCCACATTCAGTTCAGCAACGTCAAGGAGTCCACAACCAAAATACTCCCAGCAAACGGTTTCAAAAATAAAACCGAGCTTCCAAATTTTTTTTTTTGAAGTGAAAAGTTTGATTTTTTTTTACATTAATATTTTTGTGCGTGTTTGTGTTCGAAACAAAAACCAATATAATGTTCAAATTTATTGTAAGCAAAATATATTTGTTTGAAAATGCACTTTTAAATATTACTAAAAAAACGCACTAAAATCAAGGATATCAGCAATAATCAATTTGAATCTTTTCGGACAACATCCGATAATATAATATAATGAAATAATTTCAAATTTTTCTGTGTATTTTTTGTTTGTTTTCGACTTAGCTTCCTTGTCTGGCGCTCGTGGCATTAACTAGCGCGTTGCAAATTCATGATTACGAGCATGAGGAGCACGCCAAGTACGAGCCGGAACATGAGGAAACCGAGGTGCACCACGAGGTGGATCACAAGCACGCCACATCGCATCAGAGCGTTAAATTCCATCACTATCATGCGGTACCCGTTTACATTAAGCACGAGGATCAGCATCTGGTCAAGAAGCCCATCGAGATTGGCGGCACCAAGCAAAAGTTGAAGATTCTGCACCCGAAGACCGAACACAATCATAACCATGGCCTGGTGCTGGAGAACCACAGCGAGTCGCATCTGCACGAGCACGGCCATTACGAGGAGCCAGTGCATCATTCAGAGCACTACGATCATTATTCGCACCATGAATAGGCAAAAGAGGGGCCCACTAGACCCAATTGCCCAATACCCATATTGCCAAATAATGCTTAATTTTTTTTTCTTAATTCAGATGAGAGTCTGTTTCTTAAATATGTACGTTTAAGGCTTTGTGTTTATTTTTTCGTAATATTTTCGAAATAAAATTCTGCCCAAAGTATTATTGAAGAGAACTAATTAATGACATGGAGAATAACACTTCCAGACGACATTTTCATTTACATACAAATACAATTTTAGTTTCTTCATAAAGTTGATCAACTTGGTATTACGTATGTAGATAAAACAAAATCTGGTAGATAATTCTCTTATGTACCAATTATTTCAGATATCAAAATTTCTTAATAAATTTTAAAATTGATATTTGAAATTTCAGTATATTTTTTAAGTTAAATAACAGATACAAAATTCGAATTATTCTCGAAGCTTTATAAAATGATCTGCAAACGGAAGTTCATTGAATTTTCAAAGGTTTTTATTTTCTGTCTTCTACAGTTTATATTTAAATATCATACAGTTGAATGGATAGGTAGGCAAACGGGCACGACTAGATCGACTTTTGAAACCAATCAAACATATATTTCTGCTGGCAATATTAATTGGAACACCTTTATATTATTCCAATTATCCATTTTAACTGTATGCTCTGTATTAGTATCTTACAGGTAAATGAGAGTTTTACAAAACAAAAACATACATAAATCCCTCTTGGTCTTGTGATCTCCTATATATTATTAAGAAACTATGGTCGATATCGAATTCACCTGTGGTATATATAAATATACATTTAAAATGTCAGCTCTCAGACACTTATAATTTCCAAAATGGACGAACAATCATTTCTAGTGGACTAGTCGACTCGACTGCTAATGCTCAATTAGAATATACTTAATGAAATAAGATATTTAATAGTCTTATGACCAAAGCATAGTCAAGCCGCCAAGATGTGTTTAGTTTGTGCGGAAAGCTCGTCATCAAGGTCATTTCCTTATTGAAAATCCAGGCCAAGTCGTTCACATTTGGCAAAATAAATTCATTGCAAATACTATTTACACACAAAATGGGTAGTTATCAAAGTTTTTTTTCAAAGGCGACAAAAATGCAGTTAGCTGTCGAAAATATATTCAAAATTCGAAAGCTGTTTTCAAATTTTCAGTGAAAATCAGTTAATGCCATAGTAAGCTTTAAGCTGTGCGCATAAAAGCTTTATAATACTTGCTGCAAGCTCTCTCTCCACTTCACTCGCCGAAAGCACAATTGGACAGCTTTTGTGTAACGCCTAAAGCTTTTGCTAGTCATTTCCTAAGAGCTTTTGTTCTTTTTCGATTTATTAACAATCTCTTTTATTGTGTTCTACAAAGTGTTCTTTTTTCTAGCGCATAATATAATTTGTTCTTGCTCATCCAGGCTGGTCGGGTAACAGATCTCTGAGGATGCAAAGCAAGTGCTGCTGCGACTGGCCCGCCTTGTGCCTGGCTATCAATAAATAATTATAATTATCTTAATACAAAAAATTAAAAAAAAAAAAACAACAACAAGAAAAGATTCGAGTATTTAACAAAATGTTGCATATAATAAACTATATAACAGACTAATTTTTGGGCGGCGGTCGCAGCGCCAGATTTGCTTCAAGATCCTTGACGCCGCCACGCAGCAACTTCTTGCCCTGGCTGCCTGCAGCTGCCGGATGCGGGGCACCGCCACGCTTACCACGCTTGCCACCACCACTGAGGTTGCCACTGTTGCCTGTGGCGCCTCGCAGCAG